TTGTCATTCGAATGCCTGCTAGTGAGGCTTCGTACTCTCCTTTGTTGTTAGATGCATTGAAACCTAGAATGATCGCATGTTCGGGCATCGAACCGCCTGGGGTGACAAGGACCACGTCTGCTCCTGAACCTTTGTAGTTGGATGCGCCGTTGACATACAAATGCCAGAAGTCTCCATCGGGTGGAGTAGGCACGGTAATAGTGTGTTCGGCTACTTTCGAGGCATCGTTGGGCCACTCTGTTGCGTCATAAATGCGTGGTAGGGAGCCGTGGAGCTGGGGCCATGTCATACGCAGCAGGAGATGCTCTACTGCCAGTATTGGGCCACTCTAAAGTTGAATCATCGAGCAAGGGTCGGCTAAGGCCGTGTGGTGCGCAACAGGAGGTGGTACTCGACTGCCGTACATGTTGCTCCTATGTATAATCTTTTAAGGTGACGAGGACAAAACTTACTTCCGAGTGTGTCCTTCCAGTGTTCGTCTACTCTTGGCTTGTCTTTTGGACCGAGTTGTTGCGTTCGTCAGAAAACTTTGCATCCGCCAGGGTCTACACCTTTATATTCGCGTGTCTAGATTAGGCGGAATAGTACGTCATGAAGATGAAGGTAGTCGGGCCCCTAGCTCTTCTCGTATGATGGTAGAGCTAATTACGGCTTCAGATGAGGCTGCTCGTCCAGTCAGACTTTGAATCTTCTTCAGAGTAGTGGGGAACTTCATATTCAAGATCGCTTAGATTTTCCTTGAATGGGTATCGGCGAACTTCATCCCAAAGTGCATGCTTTTTTGCCAGAGCGAAAAAGTCTGCCAGAGTTAAATCTTCTTTCATTATCAGTTTTCCTAATAGTGGGTGGTCTGCTGTAAGTCTTTTTTGGAAGGCTGCTCTAGCTTTGCATCCGACTATCCTTGCCTTCTCTGCTTTTAACCTCCTCACATAGTCACGAAACGACTCATTTGGTTCTTTTTGACATCGAACAAATGGTCGGACTTCTTTTTGATTGAGCGACATGATGAATATTCTTTGGTGAAAACCAAAGAAAGTTCGTCGAAATTCCGGATGGATTGTAGCGGCAGGGTGTAGAACCAATCTTGCACCTCGCCTTGTAGAATGATGGCGAATATCTTGCACATAAGATCGTCGTTTTTTCGATAGAAGATCATTGCGCTTCGGTATTGCTTTAGGTGTCTATCCGGGTCTTCATCCTCTTTGAAAGATGTGAAATGTGGCATGTTGAACTCGCGTGGAGGCTCTACCTACTTGATCTCGTCCGTGAAGGATGACCTGTTTATGTTGGTCATGTTCCGTCGTAGTGCTTCGTCGGTGACTTCGTTGCATTGGAAATTATGCAATCACTTGGTCAAAAGTCTCTCTACTTCTTCTTGAATTTGCCTTTGTTGAGGTAGTGGAGCTCTCGGCTGCCCCTAACCGTGACTTGCTGGTCTAGGCTATTCTTCCACGTGTTTGGCGTGTCTATACCCCAGATGCGGTGCGTGTAGCGCGTTCCTAGCAGGCGAGCGAGTTCTTCGCAAGCTGTCGATTGAACTTGAGCTGTATTGAGTGACTACTTCTCTCCGTTCGTCGTGTTGCCTACTCCAATGTGAGGTGGATGATGCTTCTTCTGGACTTAGTCGCCAATGAACACTTCGCCTGGAAAGTTGCTCATGTTGACTATTAGAGTGTAACCCTACCTGTGAATGTATGCTCGTCTGTGGGCCTAGTCGAGAGTGCACACTCCTCCGCGCTTTAAGACGAGAGTATACACTATCTCGGGGGCCCAATCAGGAGTGTACACTGCATGAACACTCGGTTCGTGGCTGGTCGAGTGGCTGCTTGCTGGGACGCTGCTGAAGAGGTTCTTTGTCTGCCCTTGTCCTACTTCAAGACACCTCGTCTGAGGCACGTTGCATCTCGGTGCGCTGCAAGAGCTCGTTTACCAAGGTCGTCTGATGTGCAAGGGCGCTCATCAACTCTATGACTTGTCGAGACAAGTGTTGTTCTCCATTTGGGTTGGAATAGCTTGGAAGGAATACGTCTCCTTGAGCAGTGGAAGTGTGGTAGACTTCGGGCGCGAGATTTTGAGTTAGGAAATGTCAAATCCAAAGAAAAATGTGGTGAAACTGCTCCCAGTTCGATCATCGATCCGAAAATTTAAAACCGGGACGGTTGAACTAATCTTGGATCGATTTTGGCTACTTGGAAGGCCACATGAGCAGACTTGGCCGCGGAAACAGGTTGGGCCACCAGAGTACACTTGGATGCAGAAGCAGGTTGGGCCACTGGAACAGGCTGGGCCATGAGAGTGGGCTGCTCGGCAGGAGCAAGCTGGGTCGTGAGAGTGGGCTGCTCGGCAGGAGCAGGCTGGGCCGTCAGAGTGGGCTGCTCAGCGGGAGCAGGCTAGGCCACGAGAGTGGGCTGTTCGGCGGGAGCAGGCTACTCGGAGTGTGATGCACATGGGTGCGAGGCTTGGGCTCGGCTTAGCAATACATTGAGTTCGCGTTAAGCTTGGAGTGACATGGCTTGGGCCGTGGCCTTGGTGCCATGAGCCTTGGATGACACATCTCGGGCCGTGGTAGCGGTGCCATGGACCTCGCCGCGAGTAGTGGTAACCATGGTGGCCATTGCGGTGGTTGCCATGGTGGAGCCCCGTAGCGATGGTGCCGCTCATATGATCACATTTAGCCTTGTGGATCGTCGTGGTCCCATTTCTTGAATATTGAAATTTTCACTTGTGGAATTTTCTAATTTTCTAGCCATTGTATTCTTCTTTTACGTTTTATTAAAGAATCTTTACAAATAAAAAATTCTAATAATAAGAACGTACGAAAAAATACAAGTAAACTAGAAAATAGAGAAAAACCTTTTTTTATTTAAGAGTCTTCTACGAGTGTGGATTTCTTCTTTCAATGAAAGCATCAATTTGTGGATGCAAATTTCTTCCTCCTTGATCTTGGACAAAATTGCACCTACAAAACAATTAACACCTTAGGGTCAAGGCCAAGAGCCTTACTCGCCCACGATGAATGGGGGGGCTTTGGCCGAAGAACTTCCGATGCCAAAGTTAGAATTTAAAGAGAAAAGTGTTTGGAGAGTATTGGGAATTTTGCAAGTGTGTTGGAATGATCTTTTGGTGAAAATGGGAGCCTATTTATAGGGTTAGGGTGTAACTTATGGTTTAATGTGTGATTTAATAGATTAATTAGGTAATTAATTCATTAATTGTTTAATCAACACATTTTTGGAATAAATATTTTGGGGGTTATGTAATTTATATGAGATGTTTTGAAAGTTATGAAATAATTACCTTGTGGAAAATATAGGATGAGGATGGATGAAATACCTTTGAATTTGTTACCTATTTTGGGCACTTTTGATTTGGTTGAAGGATGATTGATCGCTGCTCACGCGTAGGAATCCCGTTGTACCTCAAAGATATTTTTGTCCTCTTTTGTTCAAAAATTCATGTGTCGCTTTGTGATTATTTTTTACTCTACAATATCATATCACATGCTAGTGGGGTACGTACTAGCTAGTGCCAAACGACGGATCATGATCCTCTCCTGAGCAGATGGAGAGGATCCTCTTGACCAAGCCCATCGGGCCGTTCATTTTTTATCCAACGGCTATAATTATTATAATTTTAGAGGGTCCCCTGTTTGTAACCGTTGGATAAAAAATGAACGGCCCGATGGGCCTGGTCAGGAAGATCCTCTCCATCTGCTCAGGAGAGGATCCTAGTCCCCAAACGACCACTTGGGAGAGTTGGGACAGGTACTCGTCCCCGGTTACTACAGAAAAGCTCCACTACAAACTACAAATCGTTTCCACGTGTGAAGACTTTCTCTGGTCATAAATAAATAAGACCTAGACGCCAATACGAGACACATATCATTAGTTGCACTCCAAAGACTTTCTTACCTTGCTAATTGATTGATTGCAAAAGGGCTAGTAGCAATCAGTTAATTAAGCGTATTGACTTTTGTATTCTAACTTCGAAACCCTCTTCCTCCGTTATCTTTTTTTTGTAAAGAAACAATAAAATAAAAAAACCAAAACAATTAGCGGTATTAATTTCATGAATTCTAACAACAACAAAATTACATGTTGAATTTTAGATAAATGCTAAAGAGATTATCTCAAAAGTGAGGTTCTTCATGGGTTCTCTGTTACCCCATGTTTTTTACACAACTTTTTATAATGTTGACAATGAAATTAATATTAAACTGTGAGATGATAGAAAATTCATAAAATGTCCAACTTTTAGAGAGCCTCTTTAGCATTTCTCATTTTATTTTGTTATATAAAAAATAAAAATTGAAGAGTATGCAGTAGTGGTTCTTTAATTAGTCAATTTATACGGCTGCATCACGTACGACTATATATTCCACCAGCTAAACTTTTGAAGAAATTTTTGAAGCCCATTTTTTATCCAATCCTGTCCACGATGTTGATCATGTACTGTTTTCTTATCCCTATAAGCTACTCCAAGTGATTAACTTATTAATATGGTTCCTTTGAATTCGTTTTGTCCAATATTCCGGCCTTAATATTATTAAACTTTTTTTTTCCCTGGTACAACCAGCACCTTCAAGTCGTTCCATATAAAATCTTATAATTTGGATTTCTGTATTTTTCTTTGCAATTTCTGTTTGATTTCTGTTGATCTTTGTAAGCGGAAACAGTGGTGTTTGTGATATTAATTATTCCCACAAGTGAACCCCCTACATGTTGAATCATCGTTGATGTATATTCTTTCTTTAAATGTTTGCAATTCCAATCCAATATGTGTAAAGAATCCATACACTACTTAGTACAAGTGTGCTTCAATAAAAGTCTAGATCCAGCTTATCTGGAAGTTAACTTTATCCATATGTGATGAACAATACATTTTTAGAGCACTGAAGGAAGTTGAGGTTTTCGAAAACCAATTTGTCGTATGTGGGTAGTTGCCCCTGCTAGGTGCATTAACTTTAAGAACAACTCGTCAAATCCTCACACGCCTTCAACTTCAAAACCAATTGGAACTAGATTATAAGTCTATGCAAGATTCATTAACTTTTTGATATGCGACGACTCTTCGGATTCTCATACGAATCGCATACATGTGAGTGAATAATTGGTAACTATTTACATCCTTACACTTTAATTAAAACTCTCAAATAACATGTGATGTAAATAATAAATAGAAGGGGGGAAACCACATGACTCTCACTCTCACTCTCTCTCTCTCTCTCTATGTGATAACAAGGTAACTCTAATTAGGATTTTTCACTTTTCACCATTTTCGGATCATGAGTGGTCTGAAATTCTTCCTGAAATGGCAGCAGCAAGAGCAGATGTGAAATTGGGATCTTGGGTCAAGGAAGAAGCCATTTGTTGTACCAAAAACTGTTGGAACGTCGCAGCTTCAGTTTCTTGGGGGCACATAGTAGTATTGGGACTTATCCGGTTAATGTCACATGAAAAAGTTGGAGGTGCAGATCTCTTTGCCATGGATGGTGAAACGGAAATTGGAGGCTGGTTCTGGTTTGGAGATACTGGGGCTATCAGTGTAACTTCAGCTCGGCTTTCAGGGTGCATGTGGTTGTGTTCTCCTTCATATGTAGCTACCAGTACGCATGGATTTTCAGCACTTTTTTGCACCTGAGATTTTAGTAAGAATATCAGTATATAATCTCATGTTTTGAACTAAAACTATGATCTCTAGTAGATACCTTCTTTTTAACTGGGCAACTTGGGGCAAAGGAACACTTGTAGTAAGCCCTAGGTGACGGGTTATCTCTTGTGACCTTCTGACCATATTTTCTCCATTGGTATCCATCCTTCACAATCTGCATTAAATCAAAATCAAATAAATTTTTAATGGAAGTCCATAGTATATGAAGAAAAATAACCCTAGAAATCTCAAGTGATGCAGTGGAGCAGTGGGATAGGGTTAATTTGATAAATAGGACTTAATTACCAGGCGTGTGTCGGATGCATCGGTGCGAACATAAACCCTAGAAATCTTTAAGTTGGCGTGCTCCCTTGGCTTCTTGCATGAGTACTCTTGATCATCACTGAAGGAGCTGGTGTCAGTATTAGTCCCGGGACTAATTAATCCAATCACGTTGTTGTAGTCTTCACTGCCTGCCTTTCGCTTCCTATAAATATCAGATGAGTTGTTTTGCTGCTGCTTGGTGATCATCAATTCTCTCACATGGGATTGCAAGGTGTTGTAATTCTCGCAGAGGGCAGTTAGCATCTCAGTCAGCTTCTTGTTCTCCACACTTATCCTATTCAACTCTTCAGCCAACACATCATGATGACTAGCTACCTGCTACAACATCAAATTTAGAAGACCAATTTAATTAGTTTCGTCATTAATTAATGGTGATAAATGGTATTAGGAAAATGATTTCTGCACACGTTTTCTCACCTCCCTCACTCTCTCTTTTTCTAATTATTGGATTGAACAAATTAATTAAAGCGAAATTAATGGCCAAAATTAAGCGGGTTATGCATAAGGTAAAGGGATGTGCAAAAAATGATATTAACAACAGAAACAAGGCATCCAGAAACAAGGCATCAAACCCAGAGCAAGGCATCAAAGAATGATATTAACAACAGCAACAACAACGACAACAAAAAGCTTGAATTCATAATACTACTTACAGTGGCAGGAGCTTGATGATCATCGGCACTGCAGAACGGAACAAGATTAAGGCCGAGAGAAGTGTTCACCCACGTTGAGTCCATTGTTGATGAAGATCAAAAGGCTTGGAATTAGTAGAAGCAAATAATCTTTCTGAATTTTCAGGACTCAGGCGCTGTGCAATGCATATATATGATACCATAAGGAGGGCAAAGACAATACTATCAATAAGAATATGCTGCAGGAAAGGAAAGAGGGAGGAAATAGCAAGAAGAGAGAGAGAAGACATTCAAGGTATTTTCTTAACATTTGTCACTTCATGATTTATCTGTCTAGAAATTGATATTTTATTAGACAGATGGGGATGAAGGAGTAAGCAGGAAAACGCTATAAAAGCCATGTTGCCATGTCGGTCTTGAAATTCTTATGGTCAAGGTCAAGGCTCCGACTTTGCTAGATAAGATATATATATATATATATATATATATATATATATATATATATATATAAGTCGGCATGTTTAGCACTCCTTCCTTGTAACTAGTTGTAAATATGGAGAAATTTTTATGGCTACATGAAATACAAGTTGCGTGATTTATTATTTTACGTGTTGTAATAAAATTACACAACATAAACATATTTTATTGCTAAAGTGTATTAATAAAAATTATAAAATAAAAATTAAGTGAAATAACAACGTCACATAACTATATTATAAATATACCAAAGAATTACTATAGAAGATAGAGTAGCCGGTTTTAAACTTTTGTATAAAGCTGCTTAATTAGGTTTGGTTTGGTCTTGTTTTTCAATGTTGACTGATCGAGATTTCAAGAAAGCCACAGCTTACACGCGCATGATATGATCAGGAAGGCACAACACGGTTTTGAAATTGTCGGGCACTTGTGTGTTAGCTTAGAGTACCTTCCAACTTTCAACCAACCTTAGACTTTTTATCTGTTCATATCTCCGCAGCTTTTTCAATTAATTTTCACGTGGTCCTTTTAAGACCAGTTAACCGTTTGTAGCAGTCGACATAACCCAAGTGTGTTGCATGCAGTTATGGATCAATGAGTTCTTGATGGATGATTATTTTCTTCCCATGTTGGCATCATTCATAAGCTTTGCTTTTTATTATTGTAAAAGAATTTATTACCTTCAACATATATACAAGCTTCGATCAATCATCAAAGATATTTGGTATTGAATGGATCATATCATCGTTATTTATCCGGCATATTTTTCAGAAAGTAAATATAGTTGATGATGGCTTAGCTTTCTTAGGACATTTATACGATGAATCTTGTATTTGATTCAATAATTCTCTCTTCAATATTTGGTTTCACCCTATCGGCGAGGTTTTCTAGTTTTTCGTGCCATTGTGATTTTTGTTGTTTCAGATCTCAAATGTAAAAATTGGCTATGAAACCAAAAACTCCTACCACGACTGAACCTAATGTATTCTTCAACTCAATTGATAAAATAAAATATATAAGACACACAGGATGAGTACATACATAATTTGAGACAAAATAAAGTATTAAGGGGTTAAGTGTGAGTATATGGGAATAGTTAAAATTAAACCATATACATATTTTCCGTCGTGTTTTTATATTGCAACTTGAATGTTTGACTGCTAGGTGCTAAATAACATTTGATTTTGGATGGGGAAAAGAAAAACTTGTGTAGAGCTTGGTATGTCATTGAACGATGTTGAGTGGCATTACAATTCATTCAAAACTTGCCATGTGGTAAGGTTTAAATATAATTTTTACCATATTTTATATAATTTTCATTTCCTTCTCAATTTGCCCCACTACTTTCCTTGCATTTCTTTAGAAATACATGCATCAATACGAGAGAAAAAAATATTTCACTTTAGAACCAAAGAAACTATCAACCGTGTTGTGATTGAGAAAATCAACCACCCTATAAAATCATCGCCTACATACATTTTGAATGAACCAATAGAATCATGGAGGAGTTTCTGTACAGCAAATTATGAGAAAATTACCGTTTGAAAATGGTAGATTCAATTTGTGTCATCTTTGTTGGATATTAGAGATTCGTGTGTTAATCAAGCCAAGTTCATATGATAAAATCCCCCTTCCCCTACTATTCAGTAGTTTGTTGAGGAGCTTCTCTCTTTCCGTAGGATCAAAAGAAGGACACCAGTCGCATAAACACCCCGTATTTTTTGCTATAATTATCAACAGTTCATTTATAAAAAAAGATTTGTTTATTAGGATAACCTTAAGGAATGAAAGAAAGTGCCCCTTTTATAAGAGCTACTTCCGAACCGCTTTCCAAAGCAAATGTAAACGACTAATAAGCAAAGCACTGGGTATGGTCAGCCTTAGACAAGACAATCATTCACACCTTACTTTATCTATATTAACTTTTTATGTACTTAATTGAAAAAAAACAAGACAAAATCGGTTGCTTCTAGTTTCCATGATATGAAAAGTGAGAGAAGGTGGGTTCTTATTTTTTTTCAGATTTTTCAAAGAAAAGAGGCGATACGCGGCTGGGAAGAAAATCTGACAAGAAAAATGAGAGGAGGAATTGAGAAAAAAAAAATGAGAGGTGTAATTATTTAGTAGAAAAATCTATTATGAAAAAAAAAATTAAATATTAAACTATAATCAATATTGTAGATAATGCTTACTAAGTGGCACATTTTGAGTCGATATTGGATAATAGTCTACTCATCATTGTCTAGTGGGAAGAATTTTTTAATGTGACCGGTATACGGAGTGGTACACCACGTGTCACTATACAAATTGTGGGATATGTGTGCTAAAATGTTAATAACTTAAAAAATAAAATTTCCCATCACTCATATTAAAACATGTGGTGTACCACTTGTATTTCCGTCACAACTAAAAATTTCTCGTCCAATGGCAAGTCAAACCCGACACAAGTTTTTCTCGGAAATATTTAGTTTATATACACACCACTCAATTATCATAGAGTCAGAGACTCATGCACGTTGATCGGTTAAGCAAATCTTGTGATAATTACTTGCTAATTTACAATGATTTGAACTCGTAACGAAGTTGATTATCTCTGTTTCTGGATTAATTACTATACAGCACAATGATCAATTTCAGGTGTTTATGGTCTCTTAGAGCAGTTCCACCATGGGCAATAGCTCGGCGGCTCTCAAACATGGCTAGAAAGCCCAAGCAACTTGGTCCAGCGTGTGCTGGGAGCCTGAGCGGGCTCGAGGGAGAGGCCCATCAGGAGTTACCAGCCCGAGAGCCCAAAGGGCATGTGACGCAAGGCTAACATCTGGGCGACGTCAGCCATCATCTCCTCTGCATTTCTCGAACTCTTCCGAGTACTATTTGATTCAAGGAGGGAGAGAAAGAGAGTCAAACCTTGTCCTTCAGCATGTGGATGAAGGTCATCTTGTCGGCATTGTCGAGGCCCAGAAACAGAATCTTGGCCTCCTTCTGCCACAACCTGAGGGAGGCAAGGACGTCGTAGAACCAATCGAACATAAACATGGCAACGACTACGACGACGGCGGCTGATTCTTCTCCAAGAGCAGATCAATCGATGGGGTTGTAAGACCATCTCCAATGGTGGCTTATAACCTAAATTTTCCCCTTTTTTTCCCCCCAAATCCACTCCAACCCAAAACCTAAACCAAACCTAAAACCTAAAACTTAAAAAGAAGGTAAATATAGGTCACAAATTTAGCCCACAAAAGCTGTTGGGACCCACAGATGAGAGTGAAAAGTGGGCCCTGTCCTGTAGCCAACGGCTACTTTTCTTTATCGGGTGGTGGTGGTAATTGGACCGTTGGTTAATCCAATGGTCTACATTCAATTTTTTTTTATATTTATATATTTATTGAATCCAACGGCTTAAATCGAATATAATCAAATCTAACGGTAAAAAAAAAGATCTAACGGTCCAAATTTAAATCCAATGGCTAGAATAATCTTAAAATTTATCGGAATTTAAATATTTTTTCCAATGGCTAGAATAATTTTTTTTTTTAAGTTTATGTGGTTTATCATGATTTTCATGTATTGATTTAATGATTTTTCAAAATTTATCGGAATTTAAATATTTTTAGGTTAAAATGTTCATAAAATTAATTTAGGATATTCTACATAATTTTTTTTTTTTTAAAAGTTAATTTAAAAAAATAGCCTTAATTCATTTTTTGATAATATGGAGCTAAAATTTTAGGTCAAAATGATTGGAGTAGAAAAACTGTTTCTGGGCTAAAACCTAAATTTTCTGGGTTAAATATTTTTAGATTTTAGGTCAGGATTGGAGATGGTCTAAGGGAAGTAGGAAAAAACCCACAAGGAATCAGAGTGTGAGAGGTCAAATCGGAGGGGGTTTTGATTTGTTGTCAGCCTCTTTCTCTCCCTCTGCATTTCTGGGGAAACAAAAATTGACCAAAGTAAATACTATAATTTTAATTATAAATTAAAAAAATACTAGTATTTTATTATCTATTGTTAGGGCTATTCAATTTAGGAGTGGAAATGTAAAAACTAATTACCGTTCATTAAGAGCAATTACTGTTCATTGGATAGATTAAACAGTGAAGCAAAAGTCGAAAAGCAACTTAACCATGAAACCTCGAGACAGAGTGTGAATGCAGGAAATCCATTGACACACGCAAGTGTGAAAAGTTTAATAAAATTTCATTCCAAAGAGTGGTAGTACTGTAACTATCAATAAATAATTTGGAAATGTCAATTTTTATCAAATATTTCTTTTGATTATCCTTAAAGTCAAATAACAAATAAAGGTTGCCTTGAAATTTTTGGATGTGGTGAAACAACTACATGTGTACGTTTCTGAGAAGGATCGATCAAATATTGGACCCAACTCGACCTTAATTGACTTGAAATCGGGGTGCAGTGCATGTGAAGTGCGAACAGGTTAGCAAAAGTAGGTTGCAGGCATGGTCTAAGATATCGAAAATATCGGTAGTCTAAAAATATGGAAATTTTAATGGAAATATCGAAATATTATCGATATCGATAAAAATTGAATAAAAACCACTAAAATTGTAAGTAAAACTTGTAAATTTTTATTGAAACTTTGCAGGATGTTTATTTAGTCAATTATCTATTAGTTTATCACAAAAAATTGGAATGAAATGCATTGCATGATGGATTTGACTGATTTAAGTTGATTATATAACGAGCTGACAAACATTGTGAGGGTAGAAAATATGTAGTAATTAATGAAAGAAGTTTAAACGCACCATAATCATTTATATATAATGAATTAGTACAATATTTTACACTTTATACATTACATGGTAAGATACATGAGTGACTTAGTACCGCATAGAGTTCCTATGAGGTTCAAAATTTTCATTATCTTCATCATCTCTATGTGTAGAGTAAGTGTATTGTGAAAAGTAGTCAGCAACCATGGCAATGGCTTTCAAGAA